CCGCATCTGCGGATGTACAGCCGCACCAGCGGCGCCGCAGAAGCGAAAGGGAACCACAGGAGCGTAAATTCTCTACAGGTGCGATCGCTGGAACACAGAAGCGACCATCGCATCTGTGTGCCAGCCTCCGCGGAAGCGTGCTAGCTCCCAAGCCTTCATGACCGCAGAAGCGGCCGGGCTCACGCAGAAGCGGAGCCGCACTTGCGCTCCAAGGTTGCAGGTGCGAAAACACCAGAACCAGACCTGTTTAAAACTATGCAAAACATCCGAACCTCGTCCGAATCACACCCGAGGCCCCTGGGACCCCGTCTAAACACACCAACAAGTTCTATAACCTAAAATGGACTCGCTCGAGGTCTCAAATCATAGCAAACAACACCGAAAATGCAAATTGCGCCATGAATCGAACTATGAACTTCCAAATCTTCCAACTTTGAAAACTCGTGCCAAAACCAATCAAATCAACCCGGAATGACGCCAAAATTTGCAGACAAGACGGAGCTGTTCCAACTCTCGGAATCGTATTTCGACCCCGATAGCACAAAAGTCAACTATGGGTCAAACTTCTCCATTTTTCCAAACTTCAACTTTTCCAACTTTCGCCGATTTGCCTTAAATTACTCTACGGACCTCCAAATCCTAATCCGGACGCGCGCCTAAGTCCAAAATCACCATACAAAGCTGTTAAGATCATCCAAAACCCATTCCGTAGCCGTTTACTCCAAAGTCCTATTCCGGTCAAATTCTCACCGCTTAAGCTTCCAAAACTAGATTGCTTCTCCCATTTCGACTCTGAATCATCCGTTAATTGAATTCAACCATGCACGCAAGTCGATACTCATATTATGAAGCTGTTACAGACCTTACGCCTCCGAACGGAGCTTGATTTCTCAAAATGACCGGCCGGGTCATTACATTTTTTTAAAACCTTGTTCATATAAAAACATTCCTCAACATATGTTTTTTTTTAAAAAAAAAGTGATGGACTGGTTATGAGGGTATTTTTGTAAACAAATAATTCTTTTAGAAATTGTGCAATGCTTTAATACATCAAACCAAACAATGGATAAGAAATATGTCAGCATAACTAATACCAACATTACTAATACACCATATTGTGCATAATTCTTATACACCCTACCAAATGACCCCTTAGTTATACTTGCATTAGTTATGCTGATATTTTACTGTACATGGTAAATTTTTACTCATTTAAACGGTCAAAATGGCATGCTATAGCCCTTTTTACGGATGGTTAGCCCTTTTTACGAATGGTTATTGAAATATAATCAGGTTTGCAAAGTTATTAAAAAGTAGCAATTATCCGATGCGAAATAAAATCTGGACAAAAGTATCATAGTTGAAACAAGAAAAGTTCCAGCATAATATATTGGATTATGAAATTCGTGTGTATAAACTTCCAGCATATTATATTACAACTCCAACATATTATGAATTCCAGCGCATTATGTTGGGATCTCATATGTAAAAAATTTGAGCTCCAACATATTACGCTAGAATTTTTCCGGATTTCTAAGGGTGTTGTTGTTCAGATTTTATTTTCATATGAAAAAGTGACAAATTTTCGATTAATTCTAAAACTATGGCTAATTTTTAATTAGCAGTTATAAATCTAGTTATTTCTGGTTTTTTTCCCATTTTATACGGGCAAAAATTGACCTTTTCTAAACCCAGTTTATATTTTGATCCCATTAAGAAATTTTAGGGAAAATAATTCTATGATAGAATTTTAAAATACGTTTGTCAGATTGTGAAGCACCCGTCAAAATTTTGAAGCACCACCCAAAATTTTAAAGCACAAGAAATTTTGACGATCACCAGAATTTTCAGATAAATTATGATGATCACTAAAAAAATTTGCTACAAAGCTGCAAAATTCTAGTGATCTGTTGGAATGTTTGACAAAATTCTGACTATCACCATAACTGTTGTGTGCTTTAAAATTCTGGAGAACGAGGAAAATCCTAGAAAGCAAACTTTAAAATTTTGGCGTGAGGCTTTTCCCCAAATTTTTATTACCGGGGTCAAAAAAATCAATAGTGGCACCAAAATATCCTATTTCAGTCATTCTCCCTTTATACTAAGTACTAGTTTTTGGAGTTCATATCGAATTATATAATTTAATCTTAACACCTAAAAGATATACATAAATAAAGAATTATTTAACTATTCTAAACAACAATTGTTCATATAAGATGGAAGAAAGTGTAGAAAACATTCTAAAAAAATTCGTAATCAAGGAAGTTGACTTTTGTTCCAAATTATCAACATTATTTCTCCGTGTTTTATATACATGGAGTTTATTCCGAGAGTTATATTGACTTTCCATGTCAGTGACATGCTTTCGAAACAAGAAGAAAGTAGTATATATGGTACTAATAAAATAACACACACCATTACAGTCGTAGCTCTCAAACAAGTAGTGTATGTTTCTTCTTTTATGTTGTGTGACCAATATTTCGTGTAAAAGAAGTAAGACCCATACCGTGGAGCACTTTTTAACTGTAGCAACAAGCTGTCTTACATCCATGCCAATCTTTCAACTTTGAATCTATGCTTTCTACATTTGTGGTAACTAGGAGAAATAGTTCATTTGGAATTTAACAACAAATGAAATGACCCTACAATTATTCTTATTCGCTGGTTCAACGTCCTTAGTCCAGTCTAGTCCCTCACACGTTAAAGAAAATAAAGAAGCAATGAACTAGCAAATCAAGAATCTGTGTTGTTGATACTAACAAGAAATCAACCTCACTTTCTCATTTTTTTTTGGTAATTAAATGATTTTATTACCAAGTGTAAAATATTTACAGCATAACAAAAAGACTCCCACTGGACATGCAGCCCCAGTTAGGATTTTGCAAACCTTCCTACTCTTCTTCTTCCCTGTGCCTTGTACTATTACATTACATCAGGGTACCAATTCAAATTGCTCATCGTCCTTGTTCATCTAGGAAACATGGTAGCTCTAACATGGATTTCCTGGATGATTGTTCTAATTATGGCTTTGGTTGCTCTAGTCTTCTGTTGGAATATTACCAGGTTCCTCTCTTGCCAGATATGGTATACTACTGCTGCTAAGGACATTCTGCATAATTCTGCTCCTCCACTTCTACCTTTTGCTTTTCTCTCTATCCATGCCAGTTCTTCCTTCCATCCTAGCTTTGTTCTTTGAATTCCTTGCCATTTTAAGAGCTGTTGCCATATGGTTGCTGTTACCTCGCAGTCAAAGAATAGGTGCTGCACAGTTTCAGGTTCTCTTTGGCATAATGAGCAAGTGTTATCAATCTGCATCCCCCATCTTGCTAACCTTTCTTTTGTTGCTAGCCTTTCCTGTATTGCCAGTCTTAGCATGAACTTCCACTTTGGTAATCCATAGTTGTTGCATATTAATCTCCTCCATGGAACTTTCTGAAACTCCCCTTGCATAGCTTTGTAGAGAAATTTTCCATCTTCTTTACTTCCTCTTCTGTGTATCCAGCATTGTCAAAATAATCCCTTGCCTTGAAAATCTGCTGTATTACCCATGATGCATTCTTTGGTACTGTGTCCCATATTGACTTCCCCTTTATGTAGTAGATGTTAACCCATTGGACCCAGAGCTTATCTTTCTTTTTGCATATACTCCATAGTAGCTTACAGATAGCTGCTTTATTCCATAGCTCAATATTGATGAAATTTAAACCCCCTGCTACCTTTGGACAGCATAGTTTATTCCATGCAACGAGTGCCTTCTTTGTATGTTCTGCATTGCCTGACCATAAGAACCTTCTGCATATAGTGTTGATGAATTGTATGATCTTCTTAGGTAGGATGAAAATCTGAGCCCAAAAGTTTTGGATTGCAACCAGTACACTCTTGATTAACACCTCTCTTCCAGCATAGGATAGGAACTTTGTTGTCCAGCATTGTATTCTATTCAGCATTCTATCAATTAGAGGCTCACATTGTACTATTGATAGTTTTTTGGTGCTTAGTGGTACCCCTAGATACCTGAAGGGTAACTCTCCTTTCGTGTATCCCAGTATGTCCATGATTTTCTGTTGGGTTATGGAATCCATTCCACCAAAGTATATGCAGCTCTTATTTGGGTTTGCTATTAGGCCTGATGCTTCTGAGAAGACTTTGAATTTTTGGTGTAATGTCTGCACTGATGTTATGTCTCCCCTGCAAAAAAGTAGCAAATCGTCAGCAAAACCTAAATGCACTAAATTGACTTTAGCACACTTAGGGTGGTATTTGAAATCTTTCCCCTGCTTTAAGGATTTCAGCAAAGCAGCCTACTCAAGTACTCCATTGCCATCACAAACAACACTGGTGACAGAGGGTCACCTTGCCTCAAACCCTTCTTGGCCTCAAAAGGTTTAGTTGGTTGTCCATTAATTACTACAGTATAGGCTACTGTAGTGATATACTGCATTATCCACCTGACAAACTTCTCTGGGATCCCTAGCAACTTCATCACCTGTTCAATGTACACCCATTCCACCGAGTCATAAGCTTTATATCAATTTTAAGCATACATCTAGGTGATATGCTCCTTCTTCCATATCCTTTTACCAGTTCATGGCCCATAATGATATTATCAGTGATCATCCTTCCTGGTACAAAAGCTGTTTGGCTGTTGTCTATGATGTTTGGCATAACTTCCTGTAACCTTGCAGTCAAAATCTTTGATATCATCTTGTATAGAACTGTGCAGCATGATATAGGCCTGTACTCCTTGATGCTTGCTGGATTTTTTACCTTAGGGATCAGAGTGATAGTTGTACAGTTTATAGCTTTACACATTTCAGTAGTTTCAAAGAATTCCAGTACTGCATTAGTGACTTCCTCTCCTAGTATGTTCCATGCCTTCTTAAAGAAATAGGAGTTATATCCATCACAACCTGGTGCCTTGCTATCATCAATGTCCTGTAATGCTTTTAGCACTTCCTCTTTTGTAATTGGTTTGATTAGTTGCATTTGTTGCTGTCTGTTCAAGCTGTGCCCATTCTGCATAACATCTGGTCCACTATTGGTAGTGTTGAGGCTGTTGTACCAAGTAATTTTTTGTAAAAGTTTAAGATCTCCTCTTCTACCTCCTTTTCACTTTGTAGAAGCTTTCCTGTGTTATCCATCAGTCTGCCTATATGGTTTCTTGCCTGCCTGTTTTTTACACAAGCATGGAAATAGGCTGTATTAGAGTCCCCTACTTTGAGCCATTTGATTCTTGCCTTCTGCTTCATAATACTTTCCTCTACTTCCAGCCATTTTGCCAGTTCAGTTTTTGTCTCCTTTTCTAATGCTATCATTTCCTCATCAGTTTCCGGAGATGCCATTCCCATTTGTATGTTCATCAATTTGTTCCTTGCTACTTGGATCTTTGGCCCCACACTGTTGTACTCCTCATTGTTTAAAAGCTTCAGCTCTTTTTTCAGCTGTTTTAACTTGTGCCACACCTTCAGCATTGACTTTCCTTTATTCTCCTTCATCCAGACTTCCTTGACAATATCATCAAATCTGTGATGGCCTGCTAAACAGTTAAAAAATTTAAATGGTCTTCTCCCCCTCCCAGTAGGTTCAGCAACAGTTACAATTAATGGGCAGTGGTCTGAGAAGCCTGGCTGTAGAATAGTTCCCTCCATATTAGGCCATTTTTGCATCCACTCTGCATTGGCAAGTATTCTATCTATTCTGCTATGGACATGGTTGTTTGTCCATGTGTAGTTTCTCCCAATTGTTTTAAGTTCAGCTAATCCAACATCAGCTATAAAGTTTTTGAAGTCTGTCATTTCTCCCTCTTGGACTGGATTCCCCATCACTCTATCTTCTATGGACAAAATGCTGTTAAAATCTCCCATTATTAAGCTTGGTTCTTGTACTCCCCTCATAGTTCTTTCTAAATCAGTCCACAAACTCTTCCTCTGTATACTGTGTTTCCCATATACTGCAACAAATATGAACTTAGTGTTGCAACTCCTCATAGCTATCCGTCCTGCTATGTATTGTTCATGAACTTTCTTTATCTCAAACTCCACCTTTGTTTGGTCCCAAATCATCCATATCCTACCACCAGGTGCTTCATCATAATTTGCAGTCCATTGTCAATTGCCAAACACCTTCCTCATTATTGCTTCAGCTTTATTTGCCTTCACTCTGTTCTCCAGTATGGCTATTACTACTACATTATTGTCCCTACAGAAATTTTTTAGTGCTTTCTGCTTATAGACTTTATTCATACCCCTAGCATTCCATGTTATAATGTTCATCATGCTACAGTATTTATGTTTGGTTCCCTGTCACCTTCATTTCTTCTTCTCTGCCCCCTTGTTCCTTGTGCTTCAGATAATTGCATAATTTTTTGGGCTGTGTCAACTAAAGCTTTGAAAGCATTACCTATATATACTTCCTCCTCTCTGTGGATTTCCATTTGCTTTTTTGTTGCTGATCTTCCCCTGGCAACCTGCCATTCTTCCTCTTTCTCTTGTTGTCTAGGCTCATCTTCTCCATCTGGTTCAAATTGTTCCAGAAATCTTCCATGATCATCAATTCTGTCCACCTTGGGGTCAAGGACCCTTATTATTCTCCATTCTTGCTTTAGTTTTTGGTTATTGCCTCTCTGTTGTCCCTCCTCTTTGTGCTGCCTCTGATTATCATTACAGGAGTGCCCAATTTGACAGCATGTTTGGCAATACTGGGGTTTCCAGTCATATTGTACTATCTGATCAATGACCATTCCTTTGGGATCATGCAGTTTTATTGATCCTGGTAATGGCCTGGTTATGTCCATTTCTATTAACATCCTTGCGTACGAGACTCTATCTGCCATAGTAGTACATGCATCAGCATACAGAGGCTTTCCCAGACCACTTCCTATTTTACTTAGTGCTTGATTGCTCCAGTAGCTAAGAGGTAGTGTAGGGAATTTTACCCATAGGGGAATAGTTTTGAGTATCTCCTCACTAAAGTCAAAACCCTCCTTCCATGGCCTCATGATAACTGGTCTGCTATTCATAGTATACGGTCCATTCAAAATTACTTCATCTCTTTCTTCACAATTGTTCATCAACACTATGAAATAGCCATCATTGTGGAACAATACCTTTGGTTTCCTGATTTTGCTCCACTGGTTTGCTATGAATCTTTCAATCGCTCCAATTGTTGGATTGTTTCCTACCACGTAAAGGATTAGGGCTCGGTTCCACTTCTGTTGCTCCTCAGCAATGTCCTCACTTTCTCATTTTACTTTCAGGGTGTGTTTGGTATGAATGTTTTCCCATTTTCTATTGTTTGGTTGCACAAAATAGTTTGAAAAATATTTTCTGTTATACCAAACACACCCTCAGCCATGATCAATTCCAGTCTGTCTATTATTATCATTTGCATTAGCTGTGCGTACAATATTGATCAATTCTAGGGGTTTTTTCTTTTATTTATGAAAATGATTGATATTAGAGATTTAATCATCTCCACTAAGAAGAGCTCTTTTTTCCCACTTAATAAGGAAAATTATGAAAATAAAATCAAAATAATATAGCAAATTAAGACACTTCATTGACTATTCAAAAATATTATTACACACGTGTCGCATCCTCAACATATACAATAAACATGCCCTTGACATATTTTTGAGAAACCAGAGCAACATAAAGCACTTCTACATCCATGACCTATTCAGATAGTAATTCTTAATCATAATATTGTTCGAGTCTTAACTGGGCTAGGGGATTTTTTTTTTTGGGGGGGGGGGGGTAGGGGGCTACAAAGGACTAGTTCTTTTCCAAAGTTTTTTCTCGAAGAAAGAGAAATTAGCTAGATATTTATAAATTATAATGAGAACTATTAAAGTCTATAAAAAAGTACAATTTAATTTGAACCGAGAGTATTGTTGGATCGATCTTTTCTGATTTATACACAGTACTGGAGAGGGAGAAGAAGAAATTAATGCTTAGTAATTAGCAAGTAGAGAATTTAAGAAAGAAAGAAAGAAACAAGAGCAGTACAGACTAAGGCATGAAGAGCTTGTTGCGATACTTGCACCTCCAAGCTTGAGGGTAGTACTCTAAAGTAGAGGTAAAACCAGGTTGAACAGAGACTCGGACCGGTTTACATGGCGAACACCGTCCGCACTTGGTCTTTGCTCAATAAGGAGTACTTGATCAGTCAACTCTGCTTTACAAAACATATATAGTAGTTCCATTAGTAAATTAATTAATAAGTCAATTCGAATTTAGAAAAGCAAGCTAGATATTGGTTATGAACTCACTGAGATCGCGAGTAGGGTGTAAGCCGAGAGCTGAACGAAGCAAAAGAAAGGTTAAATTCATCAGTATTATGGTCGCAAAAGAGAGTGAAGACGATATGTGGGCGCGTTAATGCCCATCGCCGAGTTGGAGCGTAGCAATTGCTAAATTAACTAGTGGTATGAGGGACATCTAGAGGAGATGAAGAATGGGAGAATTGCAGAGGTAGGTTACCGATACCATCAAAAGATATTTACGGATAACTTTCATAAAAAGTAATATTCATACTATTAAAAATAAATTATATTATTTGCTACAACAGATTAAGTTAATTTGACAATATAATTTTTTCTTACTCTATCAATGTGTATATAAGTTAAATAAATAAACTCTTTAGAAAATTGGATTCGTTAATGAAGGTTAACTTTCACGAGGTCTTGTTTCGAGCAGTAATTTTCATTCGTAATATTAGTGGAAGTAAATGATCTCCTATAATCATATATTACTTTGATAATAAATACTACTAATATTATAGTATTTGCAAAAAATAATTTGGCTATCAGTAAAGTAAAAATGGGTTGGTTTTCCTAGCCTAGTCCAACACACGTGAGCTATATATTTTAACACTCAACCCAGCCTATGATTTGAAGGTCTTCAAAATGTTTGCCCAATCTAACTTTTTAAGTTATCTCTTCATTTTTTCTTGGTTTAGTTATAGTACAATCTGTAACGTATAAAACTAGTTATACTTTCGTATGTGTAATTTGCACATGAAGTTCCCAGAAGTATTACATAAATGAGCTTTGTGTCTCCATCACATTGACTTTCATGTATATTTACTGTCAAGCATGCCAGCTTCCTATTAATACAAACTCCTTTATTTGAAATTCAAGTAATTAAAACAAAAAGCAATTCCTCTAATCCCTCCGGTCCATAATAAGTGTCATTTTGGCCTTTAATAAGTGTTCTTTTACATAATCAAGAAGAAATTAATTTTATTTTTTCAAAATTTGCCCTTATTTACATATCTCAATGTGCCAAGATAATACTCCCTCCGGTCCAAAATAAGTGATTTTTTGGATGTTTTCACACAAATTAAGAAATCCACCTTTTAGCATTAATTAGCAATGAAATTGACCATATTAACCTTTACTATCTCACATAAACACCCCTAACACATATTCCAATACCATTTACTTCAAGGACAATGTAGGAAAAAAATAATTAATTCATTCTTGAAATCTGAAAAAATCACTTATTTTGGACCACAAGAAAAAGGTCAAAAAATCACTTATTTTGGACCGGAGGGAGTAGTGAATACATCTTTTTTTTTTTCTTTAGGAGTTAGCATTTTCTTAAGGGGTGTGCCAAAGGCTAAAAAGTCACTTATTATGGACCGGAGGGAGTATAATTCAACTAAAATGCCTTTTTCTATTTTGTATAAGAGATAGAAGAAGAAAAAAGTAAAATATAAATCATAGTTCAGGAATCTTTATTTGTTTTGTCTTTATTTAGTTACTACCTTGGGTTGGTTTTACAGGGGATGGGAAAATCGACGAGGATGACACACACCGTATAGGGGTGGGGTGGATGAAGTGGAGGTTAGTGTCTAGAGTCCTGTGTGGCAAGAAAGTGCCAGCGATACTCAAAGGTAAGTTTTATAGAGCGGTTGTTCGGCCGGCCATGTTGTATGGGGTTGAGTGTTGGCCAGTTAAGAACTCACATATCCAGAAGATGAAATTAGCGGAGATGAGGATGTTGAGGTAGATGTGCGGGCACACTAAGATGGATAAGATTAGGAATGAAAATATTCAGGAGAAGGTGGGCGTGGCTCCCATGGATGACAAGCTGCGAGAAGCAACGCTCAGATGGTTCGGGCACGTTCAGAGGAGAAGCTTAGATGCCGCGGTGAGGAGGTGTGGGCGGCTGGCTTTGGTGGGTACGAGGAGAGGCAGAGGGCGGCCTAAGAAGTATTGGGGACATGACATGGCTTCAGTTTACCGAGAACATGGCCCTAGACAGGAAGTTGTGGAGGTAGAACATTAAGGTTGTAGGTTAGGAGGTAGTTATGCATATTTCTACGGCGCAACAGAGTGGGGCTAGTCTATTAGGATTTAGTCTTAGACTGCTAGCGGTTAGTGTTGAGTTCTCACTACTCGTTCGTTCCTCTTAGTGCCAAGCTTTATCTACTGGTTATTATTTTACTTTTCATCTTTATGGTTCTTGTGATGCTGTTATTTTTTTCTATGATTTTTATTGATGGTACTGATATATTGCTTCGTTTTGTCTTCTTGAGCCGAAGGTCTTTCGAAAATAGCCTCTCTACCCCTCGAGGTAGAGGTAAAGTCTACGTACACACTAGCCTCTACAAACCCCATTAGTGAAATTTCACTGAATTGTTATTGTTGTCATCTTTATTTAATTAGAGTAATCGATAGCTTCTCATGATTCTTATCTCATGAAATACAATTGAGAAGGGCGTGAAGACTCGTGGTACTTTCCTTCTTTACCTAATTTTTTTTTTTTTGGACCAGTCAATAGTCATTGTCTAGGTTCTATTTGGAACATGTCTGTGAGTTGTAATTTATAGGAGGGCGGAAGGTTGGTAGGTAGTTGATCATATTTTTTCCATACAAGTACTATTAGTATTAGTATTATTTTCGTATTTTTTTATTCTTAAATTTTTATTACTACCTGTTGTTTCTTTTGCTTCGATTACTTTATTATCTTGATATTGTCACTGTTTCTTTTTTCATGACTGATCACGCCCAACTATGCCTTATAAAAAGGACTAAGCGGTCGTTGCAAATATAATCCGGTTTACAAGTCCGGAGTCGAATCCCACAGAGAACTAAGGCTTAGCCACCAAAAATACAAGCTTCAACAATTCCTAACTTATAGATATTAAGATTCTTGTGTTTAACTAACTAACAAACAAATTAAAATAATAAATTAACACTAAAGATACTACAGGTTGGAGAAAATATTAAGGAGGTCTAGAGTTATGATTTCCCCAATTGTCGGAATCCTTCCCGCTATGTCTTCTATAATTTTGCCTAAGTATTCTCTACCGATCATGAGCGCTCTACGTGTTGTAATTCTCTCCCGAGTAATTACGATAATTTACTAGACATACTCTCCCGAGTTACGCTAGCTGGCTTTAATTACAGCTCACTTAGATCGCACCCAAGGTTTCGTTATCCCTAATCCCACCTTTAAACCCTTGGTTATTGATTCCTCACATACGTCGGGAGTGATGTTGTTCAACAACTACCTAAATATGCACTCTCTCCCGAGTAATACATACTAAATAAGCACAGCTAATTGAGGGCCCTTCAATCAACCACAAGAATAATATAGTTGAACAAATAGAGAAAATACTACGGCTCAATCATATAAAAACATAACAAGAATTTATCCTACAAAAGGTTCCATCAAAAGCCTAGATAACAAATTAACTATTCATAATAGTATGTAAAACTACAATACTAAAAGTCATAACCAACAATGAAAAATAGGAAGAGGAAGGAAAAACTCGTAAAAGAATTCCCCGCCTTGCTCTAATTGTGTCTCTGCCTCCTTAGGTCGAATCTGTGTCAAAAATTGGTCTCCTCCCTCAAAAATACTGTTTTTCCATATATATATACCAAGTAGGGTCGGGCCCAAACTATTATACCTTCTCCTACGCGAAAAGGGATAATTTTTTCACGTCTGGACGCTGCGGCCGCGGTAAAACCGCGGTACGACCGCGGTATATGGCAGGTATACTGCCTCAGCCCGCCTCAGATCCGCGATCGCGGTTTCGATCGCGTTTTTCACCCTGTTCCATTTGGAAGTTGAAAAAACGTAAAACATGAAAGTTGTAGTCCTTTGAGTTATCTTTCCAGCCATATATTATGGAGCCCAAATGGAGTTCTGAGCAAAAAGTTATGTGCATTTTACTATACAGTGCGCAATATGCCTACTCGGTTCTTTGTTTTGTTGCTCTATCATCCGTTGATCCCTGAATACGATCCCGGCTTAATTTCTTGGGCTTTTACTCAGACTTCAAAGCTACAAATCACTTGAATTCATTCCATAACATCTATATAGCTCGAAATCACTCCTACAAGGCATAAAACACATCGTTAGTGCAAAACACTAGCGATTAAAGCGCAAACTCAACTAAAGTGCAGTAAATTAGAGTGTAATAATCAACTAAAATACGCAATTATAGCATATCATCAACACCCCACACTTAAATCATTGCTCGTCCTCAAGGAATCAAACTACATTTTTTTATAGACACGACCTTTTTAAACAATTCTCCTAACTCATCACACCAAGAGTATTTAAAATAGACTAAGCACAAAAGCGTAACATTTTCACCTCAAGATTTGACTCACAAGTACCACGCATTATTCACAATTCACCCACTTACTCTAACATAGAGGTCAATGATATTACCTTTCCTTCATGAATCAAGTACCCTCACACAACAAAAGAGAGTAGTTCCACACAATAAAATTTAAGAACACTTAGGAACTCAAGATAGAAAGAATTCACTCACTCTCAGAAATAATATTCATATGCCACAAAAGATGCACCATAAGCTTGCCCGTAGTGTATTACTACACTAATCGAGCTCATTCAATCTAGGATCAATTAGGACTTTATTTGGTTACAATGTAGGCTACGGGACGGGCAGGATACAATTAGATATAAGAGTGACTACACCTCCCTAATCACTTTAATGCATATACTTTAACATTCAAACCCCGTACTTATGTCAAACCAAAACTCCACCTTCACATCAATGTATATTACCCCATTCTTCTTTAAGCACACTTACATCAAGAGCCACCACTTATCAAGGATTTTTTTTTTCACAACAATCCAACTATTTTTTTTCTCTTTTTTTTTTCAATTCAAGTGGCTCTTATTTTTTTCAAAACAATGCACCTTTCTCCTTATTTTATTAGTTCCACTCAAAAGCCAAACCGACCACTCCATATTTTAACTTTTACACAGTTCATAATAATTCAAATGCTCATGAGAGGTTAAAAGGTTCAAATAGATGATTAATTCAAACAAATGGGTAAGACTTGTAATGTGGTTGCCAAAGAAACAAGATTACAGGCTCAAAGGGGTTAACTACGATACATAACAATTAGGTGAGTAAAATATACATATCTGGCTCAACAAAGAAACGC